TGCCGGGCAGCGCGGGCGAGCTCGCGCTCCACCTGTCCGCCTTCGGCAAGGGCTTCGTGCTGCGCCTGGCGCCCGACGCCAGCTTCCTGGCGCCCGAGTTCAAGATTGAGCGCCTCGGAGGCTCGGGCGAGGCGGCCGGGGGTGAGCGGGAGCTGCGCGACTGCTTCTTCTCGGGCACGGTGAATGGGAAGCCCGAGTCGCTGGCGGCCGTCAGCCTGTGCCGCGGGCTGAGCGGCTCCTTCCTGCTGGACGGCGAGGAGTTCACCATCCAGCCGCAGGGGGCCGGGGGCTCCCTGCACCAGCCGCACCGCCTGCAGCGCTGGGGGGCCGGGCTCGCCGCCGCCAGCGAAGCCCACCCGCTCCCTGGAGGACCCGAGTGGGAGGGTCAGAGGCAGGAGAAAGGAGACGAGGAGGAAGAGGACGAGGAGGAGGAAGAGGGGGGCAAAGAAGAGGAGGCGGAAGGCGCCAGCGAGCTGCCACCACCCCTGGGGGCCACAAGTAGGACCAAGCGGTTTGTGTCTGAGGCTCGCTTCGTGGAAACGCTGCTGGTGGCCGATGCGTCCATGGCCGCCTTCTATGGAGCCGACTTGCAGGTAGGACTCGCTTTGCCTGGAGGCTCCCAGTCACCTCCCAGAGTCTCCAAATTCTTCCCTTTCCAGTCTCTCTGAGAAAATCCTTCACGTTCCTCATCCTCCCAAGACCGACCCCAAACGAGGTTCTTTCCTTTCTGAGAAAGCGCAGTAACTCTTTTCTTAACCTCTGACACCTGGGCTACCTACTGCCCCTCCCCACCGTGTCCCTTCCAATTTAGAGTGGAGGTCCGGGAGCTTCATCCTCCCCGCTGCTCGCCCCACCCTTGGCATCTTGAATCTCCTGCAGCAGTTGGCAAACTGAACTGAAAGTGTGTTTTAAAGCATCGCCCCCCCAGGCACCTGCCTCTTCCAACAGAGATGAAAATTGAACATTTTGGAAGAACATCCACCCCACGCCCCATTTCTCAGCCCTCTGCTGTCTCCAGACCTGAGAGGCTCCCAAGGAAAGGCAGCTGGGATGAAAAGATGTGGCTATTTCATTCCCTTTGCCTACAGAACTGAGGTTGCCATAAGTAAAAGACATTGTTTGGAGGGAGTTGAACCTGGAAGGGGGCTGCCCAACTTCTGTGTGCCCAGCTGGTTCTGATCAAAGGGCATGGACTACCTTGCCAACCTGGCACTCGGCCCTGGCAGAACTTGGCAGTGCCAGCATCAGCACAAGAAGGGAGGGGAACAGAATTTCTGCCTGGGGGCTCAGCCCGGGAAACTGAAGCTTCGGTGGAAAGGGGAGGGGAGAAGAGAGTAGGGTATGAACTCTCAGTTAATGTTCCTAGTGGGGCCAGAACTATACTTGGTCCACCCCAGCTGCTCTCAGCCCAGACACAGCTCTCTACTCAGGAAAACTGAGTCCGGGGGACAGCTCCTATAGCCAAAACGTTTCTAACTAGATTCACAGATGGTGCGGACTCAGCAGGAGGTGTCTGTGCCACCCTACGTCCCAACACCTCCCCCAAGGACCAGGTGAAGTGTAGGGGTTTCAGGAGAGGGCTGCACTTTCTCTTCCCCTGGGGAGCACAGAACCAGAGATGTGCCAGGGAGAGACGAACTGACGTGCCCGGAGGTCACAGTTCCCTGAAACAAGGATCCTGGCCACTGCTGCAGCTCAGTTAACACTTTTTCAGTGATGGCAATCTTGGCTGGGAACCCTATTCTAGGCTCAGCCTGTGCCCGACTGCTGGGGACACCGAGTGCTCCAGCATCACCTGTGCAGAAGAGTCTAGATAAGGTGCAGTCGGCTCTTCTGTTTCTCACCCCATCTTTCTTACTCTCCAATCACTGGGAAATGCTTTCTAGATGAAAGGATGGGAAGAGCTACGGATGGGAGGTCGATGTGGCTACTCCCCTGGCTATTGCAGGGGCCAGTTAAACCCCGGGCAGGCTCCCCTGTGTGCTGTTGTGGTATTCGTTTTTCCCAGAAAATGGTAAGGCAGCTTTGAGCCTTCAGTGCTTCAAAGCCTTCAGCTTTGAGCCCCACAGGCTTTGTGTCTACTGATTGTGTCTATTTTGCTGATTGAATATCTGTTTCCCTGTCTACCCTGAGAACAGGCGGAGGCACCAGTCACCTTCTCTGACTCCTTTCCCCAAGCAAGTCCTTGAGAGGGTGGCAAGTGGGGCTTCTCCCATCTCAGGTTAGGACCGCCATGCCTGGCTACTAGGGGTCTCCACCAGAAAGAGGCCGAAGTACATTCAGTGCAAAGTCAGAGCTGAGATACTGAGCCCCTCCTCTGCCCTCCCCCACATGCATGGACCGGTTTCTGACATCTGCCTGAGAATCAGGAGGTAGGAAAGGCAAAAGAACATGGAGAAACAGCAGAAAAAGTAATTGCTTTTCAGTCTTCAGAGCCAAAATCTCCTCCCTAACGCCTTCCGACCATCTCACTCTCTCAGCTCATCACCTAGACACTTAGGATACTGAGTATTTGCCTCAGGGACACACTTGGCATCTCCAGATATCAGAGCCATCTGGAAGGAGACATGCTTTGGTGCTGGGCTCCAGGATTCCCAGGCCACTGAAGCAGGAGGCTGGGCTGGGTTTTGCCCCAGGGCTGCTTCAGGCAAGTTGGCTTTCTCTTCGCAGAGCCACCCAGAAGGACTCCCACCCTCAAATGACTCCTGGCTGGATGACCAAGCGCATGCTTGTCCCATCTCCTCCCTCTCCACATACACAGGTTTCTGGACCATTCACAGACACAGCCAGCCCACGTGGGTCAGGAGAGCACATCAGAACAGGCATCAGGCACCTGTGAAGGCAGTTCCTCTCCCTATGGGGTCTACGTCCAGGTCAGCTAGACCAGCCCCGTCGCCTCCCCTTGGTCTCATTATGTCACGGCCCACCTGCACCCCTGCTGTCACAATGCTGGGTGGGGCAGAGGCTGAGGCACAGCTGTTTCTATGGCTGCCTAGTGGCCCCTCTGTTCTGACTGCTCACCAGTCATCACACCAGCCAATGCTGTGCCACCAGATGCCACAGGATGGACTTGAACTTCTCAGCTCAATCCCCTGGGCTTCCTAAAAGGGCCCATGAGCTCAGCTAAGACAAAGTGAATGTCAAGTCTTGGTTCCCCAAGACCTCACCTGCCCAGACCCATCTCCCCACAATAGAATCCTGCTCTTTATAAGTAATTCTTCAAGGAGGCTCCTGCAGGCTTCGTTCACAAAGATGGAAGGTATTTGGGGGTGTCTTAGCAACCGGGGGGTGTGTGACAAGGATGGAGAGAGACTGTACCCCCATCCAAGGCTTGGATTTCCTCAGCTGTGAAGCAAGACACCTGAACTAGGTAATCAATTTGAGTTTAAGCATTTGTGAGGCTGCTTCATGATGAGACTTCTGGCAAGTTCAGCGCTGTGGGGAAGCCACTCTCTGAGTGTGTTCAATTTGCAGAGTGGTTTACACACATCACCTCAGTGCAGACACCTGTGAGGCAGGCAGAGGAGGAAGGACATGTGACTTTCTCAAGGCCACACAGCTAGTAAGTGGCAGGGCCAGGTCTGCAAGCCAAGTGTCTGGAACAGAGCACACGCTCCTCTCTACTGTGCCCCGCTGCTGCCTCAGCACCAGGAGAGGCTGTGACTGTGGCTCTCTCACCCCCGACACTGGTCTGTGATATGGAAATGGGTCCTTGAATCCAGCAGTCCAAAGATGCCCAGCCGAAGTGGGAGGCCCTCTCCTGAGAGGAAACCACCGTCAGGCCTAGAGAAGGAGTCAGCCATGCTCCAGGCTGGTCTCACCGCCAAGCGACAGTGAAGTTTTCCAGAACTCTGTACACTTGAGTTCACTTAATCCCTTGACAGAAGGGGCCCTGGCCTCCCACCTTCTTATCTGGTTTCAGAGTTAAGGGGCTCAGACAAAGGGGGCTTTCTGAGAGGAGGGACCACCTCGGAAGAGACCATTAACTCTGTCTGCCTCCGGCTGCTGCTAATTGTTCCCGGGATGAAACCGGAGCAGGAAGGGAGTGAGTGACGTGCTGAGCTGTGCCCACACCCAGGCTGGGAAATCTGTCCCGCCCGTGTATCAGCTGCAAGCTGAGCTTCTGGACTCTCTGCTTAGCAGAGAGGGTCCTGGGGGTGGCACCAGTCGTTCCCGGTCTTCATGGGTGAAAGACAATATTACATCCGTGTGCATTATGTTCTCCCACTGGCAACAGAATGAGTCTTTTCCATCTCTTGTCTGATGCAGTCAGAATGATCAGCAATATGAAATATTGCCCAAAGAAAATGCCTTAATATCCAAAGACCTTTGATTCTCCACTTCCACCTCCCCTGCAGTGGGGGGATGGGGGATGCATAGACAATGGTTTGAGTTTATTTTGGCTGTGCGGTAGTTTTCCTTGCAGTAGCAAAGAAGGGTGGCAGTCAGTGTGGTGATTAAGAGCATAGCCTTTGAAGGGTAATAGAAATAACTGAGTGTCCTTGAGTAAGTTACCAATTTCTCTGTACCTCACTTTCTCTCTCTCTCTCTCTCTTTTTTTTTTTTGGTGAGGAAGATTGGCCCTGAGCTAACATCTGTGCCCATCTTCCTCTATTTTGTACGTGGGATGCTGCCACAGCATGGCTTGGTGAGCAGTGTGTGGGTCCACGCCCGGGATCTGAACCTGTGAACCCTGGGCTGCCAAAGAGAACAGGCAAATTTAACCACTACGCCACCCGGCCGGCCCCTCTACCTCGCTTTCTTCACCAGCAGAATAGGAATAGTTATACCAATGTCCTAGCACGGTCTTGAGGACACACTAAAACATGGAAAACACCCGACCCCGTGCATGGTGCAGAGTGGGTGCTCCGGGAAGCCCAGCTGCTACTTGAGTTGTCTTCGGTGATGGCAGAGTGGGAGGGCAGTGTGGTCACACACCAGCCACTGCTGTGCCAGCTCTGCTGCCCCACATGGCAGAGAAACCTGCCTTTCAGCTCGCTCAGCTCTGAGTATCTAAGCTTGACTCCCTGTGGTTCTGGTAAATGTGTGCTTTGGAGAGGTGGCACTGCCCCCTGCTGTTTGGAGAACAAGGAGATGAAGGACATCGTGCTGGACCCCCTCTTTTCTCCTATTGCTTCTTTCCTCCTCCTTTGCTCCCCCACCCACCGCCTTCCCAGCACGGTCTCAGGCCCCAGAGAGATGCCCGAAAGGAACAGTAATGGCGCCGGTTGCTGGGGTCACAGGGTTTCCATGTTACCATTCCTCCTCTGCTTGCCTCTCCCAGGCATGCTGCAAGGAAACATGGTAGGACTCACGGTGTGAAGAGCAAATAGCAAAGTGTAATGGATGACGTTCTGAGCAGAAGGAGCTGCTGGAAATGCGTCTGGCCCAGGCCCAGCCTTCCCCGAGACTCCCACCATAGTTGGCTTTGGCTGCCTCGGGAGCTCTGAGGGAGGAATCTCCGTGTCTGTAGGTCAAAGAATCAAAGAGGGCTCTGTCCCAGCCTAGCTGGCTGGAGCATTTTTTCTCTTTTCCAGGTCCTGGGGGCACCAGTGGAGAAGAAGACTCCCCGAAAATGCCCCGCCTTTTCCTAATGAGAATTAAGGGCGTGGGATCCCCAAGTCCTTCAAGAGCCAGGTTGCTTGAGCACCCCTGGCTGGACTGGTCATGGGCTCCGGCCTACCTGGCGTGGTTGTTGGAGGTTGCCTGCGGGGCTGCGGCTCCCACTCCACCAGGGCCACGATCCCATTCACAGTCTTCAGCAAGCAGCCTTCACTGTATGGTGCGCGGGGAAGTGTAAATAGACACCAGGCAGTGGAGCGAGCGATATGACCTTCTCCCTGACCAGCTCCTGAGCCAGCTTTCTGTGGGACTGTAAGTCAGGCCTGCCCTTTTGGCCCAGGGGATTGGCTGAGAATCAGAGGCTTACAGACTTACGGCCACCTACCCCACCAGGCACAGTGGTCCTTCCCCCTAGGGAAGCGTAAGACACACTGCAGATGTCAGGCATTCCTGCCACTGTTTCTCAGAGGAGCTAGTGGTGGGGATGGTGGCGTCCTGTCTCTAAAAGTTCAGTGAGACAAGAGAGAAGGGGAGGTAAGCGGGACCAGGATTTGAGATTTTAACAGAAACACTGGAGACCCACATAATCCTTGCAGCCTTCTTGCAATGGAAATTATCTCCTGAGAAGGCAACCAGAAGGATTTTGAAATGTCCTCAAGTCTAACCCACAGCCTGGAAAGACAATGGCTCTGAAGCCGGCTCAGCCTGACAGTTATTCAGTGTCTAGAGAAGATGATGCGAGCTCCCTGAAATGCAAAGGAGGAGACTCCCTGAAGACCTTAGTGTCGGGAAGACCACTGCCTCACCCCATCCTTCATGCAGCAATTTGCACCCTTGTGCCTTTGGTTTTCACTGGGACGTGGCTGTTACATGGTCTCTGCTCAGTTGCATTACCTGAGAGCCTCAGTCTGATCTGGTCAGCTTGGGAATGCAGTCCATTCTCAAACCTCAAGTCTTCAGTCCCTTGTGCTGAGCCTTCTGGGACCCATGCTGAGCAGCTTCCATCTCTTGTCTTCACACCTTCTTTGTAAGATATCATCTCCCCAATTTTGAGATTGCTAAGTTGGGACTCAAAGGGAAGAAATCTTGTGAGGACAGTTGCAGGTTGCCTCGGAAGAAATTCCAGGAGTTGGTCCCAGGCCCATCAGACCCTGGGCCTTCCTAGGGCAAGAGACCAGGAGACTCTTTCTGCCCCCTGGAAGCAGTGAAGACCTGGCCAGGAAGTAGCCTCAGCAAGCTACTACTCTTCAGCCCTCACCCCCAGTTGCATAATGATGTGATTGCTTGTTTCCCTCAGGAATCCAACTCCAGGAGCAAGTGCCAAGTTTCAGCTTTGCTGATAAGATGTTTACATCAGCCTAAACATAGCTGGAGTGCTTGACATGCTAAGTAACCTGCCAACCCCTGTTTGTAGGCTTACAAAATACTTGGCTTGTTGCCTGCGAGGTGGACAGATCCCATTCACAAATAATGGGATTCGTCTGGAACTCCCACACATGGCCTCAGCCAGTGGAATGTCCCTCTCTAGCCTTTCACCCCTTCTTTCCCCTCCTTCCACTGCCACCTTCCAGACCACAGGAGTGAGAAAGAGAGGCTTACGGGAGGTGGTGCCCTAGGGAACAGGGAGCAGGGCAGGTGAGTGGCAGTTCAGCTGGCCATACTCCTGGCTGAAGGCAGGTGTGCCTCTGCCCCTTTGTCTCCTCTTCTGCAAAATAATCCAAGAAGACTCCCTTCTAGAGGTCCCTGGGGCAGGAGAGTGAGCTCTGACACAGGCTCTTCCAGAGCCTTGGGAGCAGTTGGCAGCCCAGGGATAGGACAGGGGCCAAGCGATGACATAGACTACTTCAGCTGCGCCGGGTGGAACTGAGAGCAGGTGTGATCCTCAGCACCTGGCTCTCATTCGGCCCACTGGATTCCCTCAAGCCTCAGGCGGAAGGGAATAAACCCTTCGGGGCTGTCTAGGCAGAAACCGGAGGCCAAGCGCTGGGAAACGTAATGAGCATAGCGTGGACCTTGGAGACAGACGCGCCCGGCCTGGCATCTGGCTTTAAGAGCTGTGTGACCTTAGACAAGTTATCTGATTTGTGGGAACCCCCATGTCCTCATTTGTAAAATGGGGATTACAATACCTACTTCACAGCGTTATTGTGAGCATTTAATGAGGGGATATGTAAAGTGTGGGCCCTGTGACTGTAGAGTAGCCATTATTAGTAGTGATTATTAGAGGAAAGTCTTGGGGCTTAACAATTCCCATCCTGAAGGGTAGAGGTTACCCCAACAGACATCAGGAAAATGCCCAACTGGATTCTAAGAGGGAACTTCTACTAACCTTGAGCACTCAGATAATTGCTTCTGGGCTGAGAACAGGGAGGGTAGCTGGCAGAGAGATGGTTGGTGTCCAGGTTAAGGCAGAACAACCAGTGCAATCCAACAGAACTTTCTGTGATGGTGGAAATGTTCTGTCTGCTCAGTCCAATACGGTAGCCACAAGCCACACACAGATGGCTATTGACGCACTTGAAATGTGGCCAGTGTGGGGCCGGCCCCATGGCTTAGCAGTTAAGTGTGCGCGCTCGGCTACTGGCGGCCCAGGGTTCGGATCCCGGGCGCGCACTGACGCACCGCTTCTCCGGCCATGCTGAGGCCGTGTCCCACATACAGCAACTAGAAGGATGTGCAACTATGACAGACAACTATCTACTGGGGCTTTGGGGAAAAAAGGAGGATTGGCAATAGATGTTAGCTCAGAGCCGGTCTTCCTCAGCAAAAAGAGGAGGATTAGCATGGATGTTAGCTCAGGGCTGATCTTCCTCACAAAAAAAAAAGAAGAAGAAATGTGGCCAGTGTGATAGAGAAACTGTAATTTTAATTTTATTGAATTTTAATTAATTTAGACTTACATAGCCACATGTGGCTAGTCTAGATGTTAAATGCACAAGCTTTGGAACCAGGCGGTCTGGGTTCACATGCTGGCTTTACACTTATTAGCTTTGTGATTTGGGGCCAGTTACTGAGCCTCGATTTTCTTACATGTAAAATGAAGAGAAACAATGCCAGATGCCTCAGGGGTTTTGTGAGTCTTCATCGAGATGCTATATGTCAGATGCTCAGCACAGAGCCTGGCACATGGGGTGCATAATAAGGGGTGGTGGCAGTGGGCAGGCAACGGGCCAGGAGATTGAACCCTTCCGTCTGCCTGTTCCCTCCTCGACAGAACCACATCCTGACGCTGATGTCTGTGGCAGCCCGCATCTACAAGCACCCCAGCATCAGGAACTCCGTCAGCCTGATGGTGGTGAAAGTGCTCATAGTGGAGGATGAACAGTGGGGCCCGGAAGTGTCCGACAATGGTGGGCTGATGCTTCGCAACTTCTGCAACTGGCAACGGCGTTTCAACCAGCCCAGCGACCGGCACCCAGAACACTTCGACACGGCCATTCTGCTCACCAGACAGGTCTGTGGCTGGCTCCGGAAACCCCGGGGAGGAAGGGAGGCGGGATGGGCAGATCAAAGGGAGGACCACTAGGCCTGCCCAAACATGGGAAATGTCTCCCTGCTGGCCCCAGCTGGACACCAGGAGCCTCATGTGTGGAACTATGAGGAGGAGGTCATGAGGACAAGTGTGAGGTATTTGCAAGGGAAGGAGAAGAATCTTGTAAGGGCTCTTTTCCAAAAGTTTGTGACCAGCTGTCTGCTGAGGTCATAACAAGAGGAAATGGGCTTAGACTGCCCAGTGAGAAATCTGGAGCTGGAATTAAGGGAGGAGGTCTATCTTCATGGTTGTTAACCATAGGGGCAGGCAACCAGGGGTCACCCTCAAGATCGCCCCAATTCAGGAGGCCTACCCACTGGTGTGATTTCAACAGCTTCCTGAAGTCTAGAGAGTGTAATAATGTGTGCCAGGCCCTGTTCACTCCTCAGTCCGCACGACGACCCCATGAGGCAACTGCTGTTAGCCACATTTTACAACTGAGGAAACTGAGGCACAGAGTGGCCACCAGTGGCAGCGCCGATAGTCAGTCCCAGGAGTCTTGCTGCAGAGTCAGTGCTCTTAGTCACTAGGCTGACCTGCCTCCCAAAACAGGCTCTCCAAGTCCCAGCCGGCCCTAGAACACAGCATCGTAGGAAGAGAAACAGGCTTCCTCACACGGGCAGTCTATGTGAAGAAACAGGGCGTTTGGCTTACAGATTTCCTTCAACTCAGGAGGACAGGAGCAGGAAGATTTTCTGCTCTGTTTTCACGCTCTTTCTCTCCACCAAGCAGAACTTCTGTGGGAAGGAGGGGATGTGTGACACCCTGGGCATGGCGGACATCGGCACAATCTGCGACCCCAGCAAGAGCTGCTCTGTGATCGAGGATGAGGGGCTCCAGGCAGCCTACACTCTGGCCCATGAGCTAGGTAAGACCTGCCATGCCCAAGCCTACTCCAGGGTGTCAGAGGGACCGCCTCTTCCCGGGGCTGAGGAATATCAGCCCGCAGACTTAGCCGGTTTCCCTCATCATTCTGACAGAGTGATCTGTGCAAACAGATGCTTGCTTTCTCCATTCCCACCCTGAGCATAAGGCCAAAATGTTAAAATAATGTCCTGGACCATCGTCAGAGGTCACCAGGAAAACGCCAGAACATGAAACCAATGCTTGGGTAAAGTTGTGATGCCATATCCAAGCTGAGCAGTAAGAATTCTGGGAAGATAGCTGTCAAGAGAGTGATTTGTAAGCAAGCGAATAATTGAGGTGAACATGAATTTAGGACAGGCTGAGGCAGAAAGTAAAGGGACATCAGTGTTCCTCGGCACTCTAAGAAAGCTCCCTGGAGGAGAAAAGCCCGGGGTCAAGTCTGAAACAAAAATCTTTAAGGAACAAGGGGGTGGTGGTTCCCATGAGGAGCTAGTGACTGGTTAGCTTTTGTGTCAGCAGAGTGTGGCTCTCTCTCAAGAGAGAAAGAAAGGGTGGGGGAGTACTGGACCATGTGGGGAGCCCTCAGGGCAGGGCGGGTGGGCTGGAGGGCAGGGGAGGCTGGTTGGGGTGGACTGCGGGTCTCTCCATCCCCAGGGCACGTCCTCAGCATGCCCCACGACGACTCCAAGCCCTGCACGCGGCTCTTTGGGCCCATGGATAAGCACCACATGATGGCGCCCCTCTTCGTCCACCTAAACAAGACGCTGCCCTGGTCTCCCTGCAGTGCCATGTACCTCACGGAGCTCCTGGATGGGGGGCACGGTAGGCGTCCCTCGGGTTTCTCCTGCCAGCTGCCAGCGGTTGAACTCTGTCTGGCAGCCCCCTTAGACGGCTAATAGCACCTACACTGTTTCCAGCTGTGCTCCATCACAGAGCATCACAGAGCAGACACTGAGCGTTAGAAGAGACTGCAGAGACGTGTCCCTCACCCACCCTCCCATGCGTTACAACCATTCCCACAAAGCATGTTCTCCCTTGCCCCATCTTCCAGCAGCCTGAGTTCTGGCTAATTGAGATTATTAGTCACAAAGTGGGTGGAAGCAGCCTGAGAAGACTTGTCTGGAAGAGGTCGGTTTGAACAGAGCTTAAAGGAATGGAAGAACATTTGTAGTACCAAGGAGAGAAGAGAGATAGCTCATATGATAGCTTAGAAATGGCAGAGGCAGGAGCAAGTCATGTGAGAGCAAGGAGGGAGGGGGCCTGGTTAAAACAGTTCCACTTGTTGAGTAAAGCAGTGAAAACACAATTTATTCTTGATTCTTCTCATTTGAAGGCAGCAGGGACACATATGATAAAATAATGTGACAAAAATAATAGATTATCCAAACATCGATACTTTGGCTTTATTTTGCATGCCATGGTTTTTAAGAGCCCATTTACATCCCCAATTGTATTGTGACATAGATTAGTATTATAATTAACTGGCATTCCCTAGGCACACACTGAATGCATATAAGATGTTCTGGATAACAAAAGAAATTCAATCCTAAAAAAAAAATTTGCTACTAATTGTCAACAATTGGATAACCTCTATATAGATGTTTGAGTGTTGACAGTTTTCAGATTGACAAGGAAACCATGATGCCTAGACCTTAAACCCATCAATAGGAATTTAAGGGTACTGTGGGAGGCCATGGAGAGCTGAGAGGGGGAACCCCTGCCCCTTATTCTTGTCCCTCTGCTTCCTCCATTTCTCAGGAGACTGTCTCCTGGACGCCCCCACCTCGGCCCTGCCCCTCCCGACAGACCTCCCAGGCCGCAGGGCCCTCTATGACCTGGACCAACAGTGCAAGCAGATCTTTGGGCTGGGTTTCCGCCACTGCCCCAACACCTCTGTGCAGGACATCTGCGCCCAGCTCTGGTGCCACATGGATGGCGCGGAGCCCCTTTGCCACACGAAGAACGGCAGCCTGCCCTGGGCTGACGGGACGCCCTGTGGGCCTGGGCATCTCTGCTGGGATGGCAGCTGTCTGCCTGAGGAGGAAGTGGAGAGGCCCAAGGTGAGGGACAGCCACTTGGGAGGGTGGGGGAAGAGGGCAGGGGGAGGGCTATGTTCAAGGAGGGAAGCACACTTGAGAGCCATGAACTAAGAGACTTTGAACCAGGCTGCAACTATAACTTCTAAGTAAAATCACTCATCGTTTAATAAGCAAAGTAAAGCCTGTCTATCCACACATGAGAGGAGCGCTTCAAGGCTGTCCTCACAGCAGATGGACGATGCCACCCGTCCTCCGGGTGTTTGGGGAACTCCTCCTTTGGAGTTGACTTGAGGGCTTGTGAGAATTGGTGATAGGTGTGAAACACTCCAGCACAAAGACCGAACGTGGCCACTCAGTAAATGGAAGCCGTGATGAATTCTATTATGAACAGATAGAGTGACAGCAGAAGAGAAACATCCCGTCAAGAACTGAGGGAAAAGCATTCACATCCTACCATGTCTGAGCTGAATGTGTAATTAGAGGTTAAGAGCAGGAGAGTCACTGTGGGAATTCCACACCCAAAGAGGAGGAGGGGAGGAGGAAGCAGAGCCCCCTCCAACCAGGCAGAGAAAACTTGGCCCAGGACAGGGTAGACTTGCAAGAAAAACCAAGGTAATACCAGGGAGAGGTTTTAAATGATTCACTTCTTTGCCCTGCTCTTAATACTTCCAAACTGTGAGGCTGATCACATTTCTTTTAGGGCGAGTCACTGAGCCATCTCTGTGAAACAGCATCCACTGAGTTTTGCAGCCTGGTCCTCGCCCAGCGCTGAATCACCAGGGTGGCCTGAGCACTCTCCAGAGGGCTGTCCTCAGTGGCGTGTCCCTTGCACTGAGTGTCAGGAGCCTGCTTGGGCCGAGTGAGACACACGCTCTTGCTAAGCCAGAGCCAGCGCAGGACTCACAGATTCACCCTCAGCCACCTCGACCCTCCCCCCATTCAGACACTGAGCTTCTCTTCTGGGGCCTGACCCTCTCCTGTCGCCCGTGCTTCATGCGTCTGTCCAACATTCCCCAGCACCAGAGCCAAGCTCCATGCAGAGAGAGGTTGACATGGAATGATCATGGGATGTTTATCATCTATTTTTAATGGGAAAAGACAGCTATAAAATACTATATATATGACAGAATCATATCTGTGTAAAATAAAAACACCACATCTTTATGATTATATATTCAGAGCAAAAGCATGAAAGGATACTGATGAAAATCATATCAATAGTTTTATCTGGGTAATGGTATTTTTTTTAAGTGTTACTTTCTTTTTTACACATTCCTGTATTTTTCCTTTTTTTTTTTTTTTTGGTGAGGAAGATTAGCCCTCAGCTAACACCTGCTGCCAATCCTCCCCTTTTTGCTGAGGAAGATTGGCCCTGAGCTAACATCTGTGCCCATCTTCCTCTGTTTTATATGTGGGATGCCACCATAGCATGGCTTGATGCATGGTGCATGCATCCGTGCCTGGGATCCGAACCTGCGAACCCCGGGCTGCTGAAGCGGAGCGCACGAACTTAACCACTGCACCACCAGGCCGGCCCCTGTACTTTTTCACTTTTGTAATTTTTAAAACAATTTTTTTCATTTTGAAAACTCTGTGAAGCCACCAGAGGCAAAGCTTTGTTCTCACAGGTCGGTTGTAAAGTAGGAACCCACCCTGTTCTCGTCCCGGCATTATCTTCCCACAGGAACTGTAGCTGTAGACTAGTGGCAACAGCTCCCCATCCTTATTCCTTCAGACCAGGACTTCTCAGCCTCGGCACCAGCGACATTTGGGCTGCATAAGTCTTGGTTGTGGGGGCTGTCTTGTTCATTATTGCGTGCTCATTGTTGGAGGCTTAGTGGCACCCCAGTCCTCTACCCACTAGAGGCCAGCGGCACACGCCCTCCCCAGTTGTGATAACCAAAATATCTCCAAACATTGCCAAATGTCCCCAGAGGACAAAACTGGCCCCGATGGAGAACCGCCGCATTAGACCCAATCTTATCCCCATAAAAGAGTTTCATTCAACAACTAATATTGAGCACCACAGTAAGGGCATGGTGTCTTAGACCCTGGAGGGTCAGTGCCAAGCAAGTCCAGCACAACCTCTGTGTTCACAAAGCCGACAGCCAAGCGGGCCACACAGTCATTAAATGAATGATTAGGGCCATTCACTGAACTCCATGCAGCAGGATAAGCATGACCAGATGAGGAAGTCAGGGCCATGGCCCCCCTGTCACGCCAAGAGCTGAGGCCTCCTCACCTCTACTTCTGACTCAGTGTGGCCTTGTGTGTTGCAGGCCATGGTGGATGGAGGCTGGGCCCCATGGGGACCCTGGGGAGAATGCTCCCGGACCTGTGGAGGAGGAGTCCAGTTTTCACACCGTGAGTGCAAGGACCCTGAGCCTCAGAACGGAGGAAGATACTGCCTGGGTCGGAGAGCCAAGTATCAGTCGTGCCACACAGAGGAATGCCCACCTGATGGTAATCGCCACCTGTGGCCACACCTGCCAGAGCAGCTGCTGTTGTTGCTGCAGCAGATCCCTAGAGGAGGAGGAGGGTGGGTCTCCCAGGATGCACAGCTTTCCTGTGATCCAGACATAGATGGGCTCTACAAGGTACCAAGTTTTAGGGCAGCCCTTAGCGACCCAGGACAGCTCTCATTGTGCTGAAAGAGCATGGCAAAGTCAAGGAGAAAAACTGCCCTGGTCTTCCAAGACGTGGAGATAGAGGATGTCACTCCTAACCAAATTTTTTCGGGGGAAGGAGGGAGGCCTTTGCAGAGGGGCTAGCGTCTAGGATAATAATCCTCCTGGAGGCATGTGAACCCGTGTCTGTGTGAAGAATGGAAGGGTTTTCCAAAGCAAGTGTTAGAGCCAAACCTCCACTGTCTTCCCAGCCAACATTCAGCCCAGGGCGGAGGGAGGATTTCTGAATCTGATTCTAGTGTACATTCCTTCTGAGAAGAGTTGCCCATCTTCCCTAGGCGCCATGGCAACTGCCTAATGGAACCTTCCCAGGAAGCAACACCGTCTCTACCTCCCCTTGGCACATTCCTACCCCCTAGTACCCACTAGAAAGCACACACGTTAACTCAGGGGCAGTAGGGGCAGCAGCAGAACTGGCAAGAAGGATCATTAGAAGTTTCCCCACCATCCCATCCAGCTCCTCTCTGTACTGGCAGCTCCAGGAAGTACTGGCAGGCAACAAAAGACAGCGGAGCTTTCAGAGAGACTCATCCAAGTGCAAAGACACACTGGCATTGGGTTGGTGTCTAATGGGGGAATCAGTAGGCTTTGCAGTTTTGCAAGACGGGAAGGATCAGCAATGGCACGAGGCTCTAGAAACCTTGCCCTGGAATCGAGAGAGTTTGCCTGGCATGCGGGGTGAAGCGTTCCCAGGGGAGAGAGAGAGGGGGGAGGGGAATGAATATAAGGTACAAGGTAGACATGGACAATAGGCGATATCATGATTGCAGAGGCACCATCTCAATCACCAAATGTTTTTAGTGCCTCTTGTGTGGCTAGAACTATACTAGATGTTATCAATGACATAAAAATGCACAAAGCATGGTCTCTGTCCTCAGGGAACTTGCAGTCTAGTGAGAGATCCAAACCCCTTTTACAACGCAATTAAAGCTTAATCTATGAGGCACAGACTCCAGGTTTACGAGGAATTCAGAGCAAGGAAAAGCCTGGGCTAGTCAGAAGCTTCACAGGGCCTGGAGGATAGAGATGGTGATGAGAGGGTTGGGTGGGGAAGGATTAAGAGGTGGAGTCACCTCTCAGGTGGAGTCAAGCAAAATGTACTAGCATTTCCAGGCCAGACCACAACGGTCCATGAAAGCTAACATGGCATCTAGAGGGTCTCCGTGCCGGCTATCCGTGAGGTCACCTGGGAAGCTTTTCAAACACAGAGGCCCAGACCCCTCAGATGTACTGAAATCAGAATCTCAGGAATAGGCCATGGCCATCTATGTTTTGAAAAATCTCCACAGGCCATACAGATGTACAGCTAGAATGGAGAACCTTAGTAGTAAGAGCAGGTTTAATTTCAGGATGATGGGAAAAAAAACATGTCTTACTTCAGACAGATTGTTTGGGAAGCAGCATGCTGCAGGATGGGAGAGGAGGCAGGCTCTGTGTAGGAGGCTGGGCACTAGGTCTCGCGTGAATCCACAAGGCCTGGGCTGGCAAGAGGTGGACTGAGATGGTGAGAGTGGGATGGAGACATTGAGTATAGTCCTGATTGTCCTGACTTAATGTCAGGTTGGAAATAGTGGATGTTGATGCTCAAATGTTCAGAAGATACCAGGATTCCAGTCTCAGGCTGGAATATGATGGCATCACTAAACGAAAATCAAACCAGTTCCTGGAGGAGCCATATGGAGTTGGCCCCTGTTGAGGTGGAGGTAATTGCAGTACCTACAAATGGAGCTCCCCCATAGACTCCTAGAATTACAGCAACTGGGGTGTAGGGGCAAGATCAGAACTAGAGATGTAGGTCTGGGAGTCTTTGGCCACATGTCCAATGTCACCAAGGAAGTCAAGATAAAGCACAATTAGCAGAGGCCTGAAAATATAGCTCCATGTGTCATCTGTGCCTTCCAAGCTTACTGAATTGTCCCCTGCCTGAGTTTATTCATCTGTAAAATAGAATTAATATCTTCCCCAAATGGAAAGGATGTTTATCCCAGAAAGCCCAGCTGAGGCTGGATGCTCCTTTCCTTGCCCCTATAAGTAAGGGTCACACATGGACCTCGGTCGCGTGTGTCTAGGAATGTAGCGCCCAGGTGACACAAGACCTGCGTCCTGGGGTTGAGTCAAAACCAGGAGGAAGAAAGGTGCCCTGAATCCCAGTGTTCACTCCATGCCGTTTCTTACTCTTTTCAGGGAAAAGCTTCAGGGAGCAGCAGTGTGAGAAGTACAATGCCTACAATTACACTGATGTGGATGGGAACCTCCTGCAGTGGGTCCCCAAGTATGCAGGGGTGTCCCCCCGGGACCGCTGCAAGTTGTTCTGCCGAGCCCGGGGGAGGAGTGAGTTCAAAGTGTTCGAGGCCAAGGTGAGAATCCTTCTGGAACTCAGACAGGCCCCCTGGCCCACCCCCAGCCGCGGGCTGCCTCTGTGCTCACCACACCCTCTCTTACCTTCCCTCCCCGGCTGCAGGTGATTGACGGCACCCTATGTGGGCCGGAGACTCTGGCCATCTGCGTGCGTGGCCAGTGTGTCAAGGCTGGCTGTGACCACGTGGTGGACTCGCCTATTAAGCTGGACAGATGTGGGGTGTGTGGGGGCAAAGGCAATTCCTGCAGGAAGGTCTCCGGTTCCCTCAACCCCTCCAGGTGAGTGTCCTTGGCAGTTCTGCACCGAGGCAAAGAGTGGACAGGGCTGTGGAATCACACCGGCCCAGGTTTAAATTGCGGTTCTACTTAATAACCCTGGAGTATTGAGCTTCACTCTCTTTATGAAACATCGGCAGTCCTGTCTGTCTCAGAGTCATTGTAAGGAGCCATGAGACGGGCAGAGTACTTGACACAGGTCTGGCCCAGAGAGGGCGGCACACAGGGCAGCCAGAGGCCACATGGATAGGGATGTATCATCTCTGAGTCAGTCGGCAATGGAGCTACACTGAGTAACCGGGACCTGTGCCAGAAAGCAGCTCCTCCAGGCCTGATTTGGGAAGGACCTCTTACCCTACAACAGACATGTCCTGTCCTTGCTGCAGGTGGATCTTCAGAAAAGGTGGTAGAGAAAAGGCGGGGTGGCCTAGGTGCTTTCATGAAACTGAGAACTCCAGACGCTTTCCCACATCTTAGAGCCACACGTTCATAAAGCTCCTAGTATCTGTTTAAGTACTTTCACTTCTGTGGCCTCATTTGATTTCTAAAATAAGTCTATCAGGTGGGCAAGGCCAATACTATTATTCCCCATTTACAGATGAAGAAACTAAGGCACAAAACAATTACATGACTCTTATGAAGTCACATTGATAGTTAATGACAGCCAGGAAGAGAACCTGGGCTTCTGATTTCCTGGGCTCTTTTTCTCCTGCCATTACACGCACTTCCTGGCAAGGACGGTCAAGGGCGTGCATTGTAGGCCACGCTGTGCCCCTCTCTGTCTCTCATCTCATCAGGCCCAGAGAACAGAACCAGCCTACAGCAGACAACTTGGGAGTCTTTTCAATTTTAACCTCATGGGATATAGAAAACAGAAGCAGGGGTGTGGGGTATTGAGGTCCTCGGCCAGCTCTCTGGAGGCGTTAGACATGTGGGCCCGCGGGTACTTTCACAGCCGCACTAGACTAAGCAGCTGGCCCAGCTGGGTGTCAGGCGAGCATAGCAAAGAACCAACTGACTCTCCTCAGCAATCCTCATCGCTTTCTTCCCAGCTAAAGTAGCTCCAATACTTTTACCCCAGAGCAGAAGAAGAAGAACTAAGGTTTCTCCATCCCACATAAAGCCCTAGACCTACCATAGAGTTGAACATTTTCCCCAAACAGCATCTTACCCCCGCAGAAGCGCACAGCTCGTGGTGTCTGGGCGCCCAGCAGCAGGTTCCACAGAAGCAGGCTTTACCTGGTTCCTGCCCTAGAGCCAGAGTAACCACATGCTAGGAACTGACTGACTCAATGATGTGGAGTGAGATGTCCATTCTGGCCGGATTGTAGAACAAGTGTGTGGAACAGATTTTCCCACATGGGTTTGAGCTCTGGGTATGGAAGTGGCCAAGCAAAGTTTTATGCCAGTGCAAGGGAACTAAATGTGTTTGAGATCTCATTTGAGTCAAGAGCTGCCAGGTTTGGCAGCACTGACGCAGCTTTCAAACCCCTCTGGGCTGCCTTCCTCTCTGGGCTATTATTGTCAAGATCCACATAGCTAAACTCCAGACATTTGAAACAGAGTTGCCAGGCAAAGCGAGAACCCTTGAAAATCCCAATGCACAAAACATTCCTGTCCGCCTCAGCAGCTAACTTATTGGAATTTGGGGGCAACTACTTAATTATTTGCCAGTGGTTTTTGTCTGCCTACCTCCAGTCACCTGCATGCTAACTTCCTGAGGCACTGGACTGAGTAGCCACTGGTCCTAAGGGTCTCTTTCTGTTCCTATCATAGTTATGGCTACAACGACATCGTCACCATCCCAGCTGGTGCCACTAACATTGACGTGAAACAGCGGAGCCACCCAGGGGTCCAGAATGATGGCAACTACCTAGCACTGAAGACCGCCGATGGGCAATATCTGCTCAACGGAAACCTGGCCATCTCTGCCATAGAACAGGACATCTTGGTGAAGGGGACCATCCTTAAGTACAGTGGTTCCATTGCTACCCTGGAGCGGCTGCAGAGCTTCCAGCCTCTGCCTGAGCCTCTGACCGTGCAGCTCCTGACAGTCCCTGGTGAGGTCTTTCGGCCCAAAGTCAAATATTCCTTTTTTGTTCCTAATGACGTGAACTTCAGCATACAGAACAGCAGAGAGAGAGCAACCACCAACGTCATCCAGCCTCTGATCAATGCACAGTGGGTCCTGGGGGACTGGTCTGAGTGCTCGAGCAGCTGCGGAGCTGGCTGGCAGCGGCGGACTGTGGAGTGCCGGGATCCCAACGGCCAGGCCTCTGCCACCTGTGACAAGGCTCTGAAACCTGAGGATGCCAAGGCCTGCGGGAGCCAGCCGTGCCCCCTGTGATCCAGTGGGGTGGAGGCCAGTCTTGTGCTCATGGACGTGGGGTGCTGGGGTACAGACAACGTCCCCACTTTGCTGAGCCTACCTATGGAGGTGGCATGGCCTACCCAGGCCTCCTATTGTCACAGTCCCTGCAGTTGGGCATGAATTCATAAGGGGGAGGAGAAAAGAGGACATGGACAACAGATCCTAAAGTCTACTATCTAGTGGACTGGACCTTGCTTGGGTTCAAGTAGAGGGCTTAGGTTAAAAGGTAAAACGTGCACTTATTGACCCAAACAGGAGACTCAGTCAGCCTGTTTGCAAAGGACTAGCAAAGTTAAATGAAAAAAATTTTCTTCTGTTTGGTCTCCCTGATAAATAATCTACCTCAGAGGGGAAAAAATTAGTCAAAGAGGTGTAGATGGGGGTTGCTCCCTAAGTGCGCCCCCGAGCTGTCTTCACAAATGACCGTGACTGCCTTCAGTATTAAAATCCATCGCCTCCAGGGCTGCGGAGCTGCAGGACTATGGAGAGCCACATGTTCTCAGACTTCCACCTGCAGAGGTGGATCCATTTCAAGTATTTATGCAAATGTGTCTCTGAACTAAAGTGTGATCTTGTGCCAATGTAGTGGTCTGATCTGGTTCAGTATTTCTTTGGAAAGGGCAGGGGACGCAGAGCCCAAGAACAGAGGCCAAAACCAGGTCAGCTCACCTGGAACACGCACAGGGAAGCTGGCATTGTGCCCGAGTCTCTTCAGGCCTTCCTCTTGAGTTCTCATACGCCTGCCAGAGTTCAGCTCATTCACGCAACTCTTCGTTTGCATAATCTAGACCAATGGTTCTCAAACTTCACTGGGCATTAGGGTCATCTAGAGGGCTTCTTAAAACACAGATTGCTGGGCTCCACCCCAAGAGTTTCTGATTCAGGGGGTTGTAGGGGGCCTGAGAATTTGCATTTCTAATGCGTCCCCAGTGATGTCGAGGTTGCTGGTTTGGGGACCACCCTTTGAGAACCACTGCTCTAGGGGAAACTTCCAACTCAGAGGTAACAATGGTTATGCGATGTCTCTGGGCTCATTATTCTTGAGAAAGGCTTTCCCCTTCCACTCTGTATACGTCCCCACCCTCACTTTTACACACTGACCAGCCGGAGACACAAGGTTCTCTTAGGATCTGAGGAATGCTGAACCTGTATCTAAGTAATCTCATCCCAATGACTTCGGCTCCTTCTCTCCACCCCAAATGTCATTCCCTCTCACGACTCTTTTGGCCCAACAAACTTGCAGCTGTCCCAATCCACCCTTTTTCACAGAATGACATTCCCCACCAGCAACCTCAAACCTACCTGAGAGCATCCACGACCCAGTCTTCCGCTCCATGTCTCCTCATCTCTTCCTGGCTAGGAAGTCTCTGGCTCAGTCTTCCATATGGTCTGGTGTAGAGGGAACTTAATCCTTGGTCATTAATGGGTGAGATGAAACAGACAACATCAAGAAATGACATTCTTGTGAAAAGAAGGAATATATCTGAATTTGCGTCTTCCCTTTTTTGTCACCTTTGACCACTTTGTCCTTCCCTTTAGCTTTCTCTCAAATGTGACATGGGCAGAGAAGATGCTCCGTGGAGCCCTTGTTTGAATGAGGAAAAGGTGTCCCCTGGGAGGACTCAGGCCCTCGGAGCACAAGGCAAGGCAAATGGGATCTCAGCCCTACCGTGACCTCAGCTGGTCGCCTTAGCATGGTGCGCACTTCCGCACGGCAGCCTTTGACATCGAGCTGACCACTTTTCCTGTCTGCCGACTCTTTAGTGAGTGGGAGGCCAGGCTTACCTAAGCATAAACAAGCACACACGCAGGCATGTGGATGACGACTAGTAAAACCAGATTTTTCCTTGCTGTGCACCAGTTTTGTTGAGGCTGATGTATGTTTCTGCAACTCTTCATCTCCTTCTGTTTCTCATTCTCCTCAAATTAATCAAGGCCAAGTGTGTCCCCCACTAACTGCCCACGCCAGTCCAGCTGTGCCATCCCTACTGCCTGCATCATTACCAGGCACAGCTCTTGCCCTGGAGTTCAGCTGGCAGCAGAGCTGCTGATGTGCAAAGCAGAATGGAATCCATCTTGGCTCTTCCTTGCTGTGTGGGCTCGGCAAGGCTCGCAGAATACAGACTTGTTTGTGTCTGGAAATTCAACAGCTGCAGCTCAGGGACTCAGAAAACAGATCTGCAGAGAGAGACCACACCATTATTTCCCTCGACCAACCACGACCACTCTTTTAGCCCAGAGAAGGGAAGACTGCATTTCCCCTGCTGAGAGTTTGCATTTTCCAGCTAGTGCTCCTACTGGAAACTGGTACTGGTGCCTCCTAATGGAAGTCCCTAAGGCCCCAACTCGGCAGGTAACCTGGTCATTCATCTGCATCCTCCAACCACCTGCCAGAAATATTTCAAAGGTGGTATATTAGCATCAAAGTTCACTTCCAACTTTTCATCCTCAAGAGAAGTGAATCCTTGTCTGGGTTTATTCTCTGCCCTTTATTCCTCTGTAGCTGACCAGAGGGTTCTGTGAATTTACAAAAGTATGCAACATTGCTGTTCCCCAACCCACTTTAGCAAACCACCCCTCTCTCCCAGGAACATTTTCCAGGGGTGATGGCACCCTCTTCCCACTAGATCCACATCTTGTTCTCTGATGATGTCCACTATGTTCTAGAACCTTCATGTTTGGGCTTTTTAACCAGTGAGCCCTCTTAATGAGGACTGTTCCTCCTTCCTAGCATCCAAACATGTAGTTCTCGCTTTCCTCTGGAGCCCTCATCATTATTTCCAAGCCGCCCCACCCCCCAAAAATGATAAGAACAATAGGAAAGTTCTTAAGAGTATGTTGGCCTTTGCTTTGTCTTGATATTTTCGACTTGTGGGCCAGGGCAAATAAAAAGAGAGGCTTTGTCGCCACTGCATTCCTGAGTCTGTAATGTGGTAAGGCAGTGTTGCTGGCTGCCATGTGCCAGGCTGTCACACACGGCCCGAGACTGCCAGTGTCTGAATCTCCCTTGGTCATAGGAAGAGCTGCTCGTGAGCCCACAGCGACCTCTTTTCCACGAGCTCTGCCTCAGATCACCAAGCCCCTCCAGGAAGCAGCAGTGTCCCCTTTGCTGTTTGGGAATTAGAAATGGTTTGTCTATAGAGCGAACAGAAATGTGGAATTTACCAAAAAGAATCAGATGTAGTATTATCCTTGGACTTCAGATTTCTGCTGCCACAGCTTCATCACCTCCTTTTGCCTCCTCAGGGAGCAGAAGCTAAATTACTGATTACATAGCCAGAATAAAACCTGAGACAGCGTGAGCACGATGAAGACAGTGAAGGCAGCATTGTAGGCAAGGTGAAATTCCTGTCCCTGACGCCTGTCCTCCTCCGGCCCCGCTCTGCTCTATGGAGACTGGAAGGGACTTCTCTAAGTGAAGAGAACTATATCCCCACCCGCACTCCCCACCCCTAATTCCACCATGGGTCAGACAATCACCAGAGGCCCAGAGCAGGCGCTGCCCGTGGGAGCTAGGACGGAAAGCAGAGGAAGGGAGTGACGCAGCAGCACTCCTGCCCTTGAGAAATATAAACAAGTGTTTGCTCGCCTTTGGTGGCCCTTGGCTGAAGGACAGCATGTCTTTATGAGAAAGCTCTGTTCTGGCACGGCACGCTTCCCTGCAGTCCTCTGGCTGAGCTGGCAGCTTCAAGAAAGCTGCACGTGGAATGTGAAAGGGAAAGAAGTCACCAACTTAAGCTGACATTTTTGCTGGTTCAATCTAGGTAATTACTAAAGTGACATATGGTGGTCATATCGACCTTACATATGAAAAAATTCTAAACAATACAAAATAACACACTGAGGGGAACTAAAAGTCAGAGCACTGAGTGAGCAGAGGGGGTTTGTGACCCCCTCATGCTTTCTCTGCCTCACTGCACCACGTCAGCCCTTCCCCGGCACTGGACTGCTTTAGTTAACACTTCCCAACAACCCACCAGTCTTATCGAAATAGGGGTGCCCCTTTACAGCTTGGTTCATTCTTCTTCAGACAGGGAGCGTCTCTGATATTCCACTTGGGAAGTAGTTGGCCTCCCTTGCTTAAAATTGAGTGCCAGCCAACCCACATCCCCCAAAAACTAGATGAGGGGGCCCCTCATAGACACTGCTCAAGTATTGGGAAGAGAAAGACGAGACCCAATGTACAAGTACATTCTGAACTGTAATGCTAGTGCAGGGAGAGAGAAATATAGGAGCTTTCACGGCCACCTGTTTCTTTTAGAACATACTTTCCCTCAGGCCTTGGGCTCAACGATGAGACACAGGAAAGTTCTGGCTAGTCTTCCAACCCCATGACCTGCCCAGCCTACCCCTGGCAGACATGCAATTGCCCCAGGAAAGGAGAGAGTAAAGAAGCCTTCCCCACACCTCACCGTTCCTCATTCCAAACATCTTGTGTCCCAGGAGCACTGGAAGAGTTTGTCCTCAGCCAAATACAACTTCCTGTTTCTAAGAAAGGGGAGAAAAAAATAGTTGAAAGAGTTTTGGACACTGGAGATTTCAAGTTTCTGTAAATGCAAATGAATCAGACACATGTGGAATAAATTTCTCCGGAAGTGAGAAAAGATGCTGTGAGTTCCTCTTGCTGGACCAGAAAGTGGGAAAAGGGTAGCTGAGAGGGGAGGTACATCAGAGGCTAAAAAGAGAGAGAAAATCCATGTGAACATTGGATCCAAGAAGGGGTCCCAGTGATGACAAGGTTCAAGGCGGGCCCTCCCACGGCCACATTCTGGACTTGCTTATTACTCAGAACTTCTCCACCTCTGAAGTCTTAAATTTAAATATCCTGCTCCCTGACCACAACTTCCTACCCTTCCAGATCTCTCACCAGTTCCCACTACACTTATTCTAGGGACCCCCAGGTCTTTGGCCACCCTTATATCCACACATTCCCCTGTCTTTATTTCTTCTCTGTCCCTACTTCCTCTTTCCCTGTGCTGCTCAGACTCCATGTTCCAGCACCTCAATCTCAATCTTGCCAATATTCCCAACTTCCTTGCCCCATTGACTTTCCGTGGTGCTCAACAAGCAGAGCCCCACGCCGGACCTATTCAACTCTCCACCTCATGCTCACTATCATTATGGTAACAACCAGGCGCCACAGCACTGGGGGAGATCACACCACTGAGCGTATAGGTGCCACCGTAAAGTTATGGTCTCCGAGGGAAACTCTGACCAGCAACCCAAGCAGGCTGCCCTAGTCAGTTCTATCGCCACTTCTCTACCAAATTATTTTATAATAATTCATTCGTATAATAATTCAATGTCCACTCTCCTCAGGCTCGTGATCCTGCCACATTTCCCCTTACTATGAGTAGATGACATCACCCCCTACTACTAAGCGTACCCTACACTGCATCACCCTCGACAGAAGGGAGAGAGCGGACACAATCTCACTGTTAACAGGTCAAGTTACAGATATTAATCTAAAGGAACATTATAATTCTACCTTATTTTGGATTCAACAGGCATATTCCAATTGCCAGCAAGTCCACAGGAGGGTGAAGATTCAGGAGATAATTCCTCTACTTTATGAAATTAA